AATGATTATTTCTGGAATCTCTTAGTCTCCCTCTCTGTCCTCGTTCAGAAGATATATACGCAATCTAATCCTGTCAGGCCGCGTTCCTTCTTATAAGTGCCGACCGAGCTCGAAATATTGAAATTGGAATCTTTTGTTTAAGTGAAATAGAAATGACCCCTCACCCGGCTCCCGGCACCATTTGTTCTTATAATCAGAGCGCCGCGCGGTGCACCTGCCGTGTCCTGTACATGGCGACCGTCTGCCAGACACAGCCGGGACGGAGCGCGCCTTCTGTGGGATAATATCCCGTTCAGGAGACGGATGATGTGATGATGGGACCTCCGAGGTGTCATTGTATTTCATTGTCCTGTTGTGGACGCGGGACGTAGTGTGGAGGACGGTGAAGAGCAGGAGAGGGTGACAGGAGACCCAATGTGTTCAAATCAAAGGAAAGAGAATGAATATACATTTTGGGTGAACTGAGCTGAGTTCCCGGGTCTGTACACGCGCTGTGCCCATTATGAGGGGCTCCCACCATCCCTGTGCTGAGTTCCCGGGTCTGTACACCCGCTGTGTCCATTATGAGGAGCTCCCACCATCCCTGTGCTGAGTTCCCGGGTCTGTACACCCGCTGTGTCCATTATGAGGAGCTCCCACCATCCCTGTGCTGAGTTCCCGGGTCTGTACACCCGCTGTGTCCTTGTACAGCAGCACTTAGAGGAGCCAAGCAGTTGTGCTGCAGTGCAAGGAACATGTTAAGAGGAGGAAAGAGCAGAGAGATGAGATCGGTCTGCTTCTTCTGCTTTCACTGTCCAATCATAGGCTGGGGGAGGGACAAGACTGAAGTGTTGCTTAACTGCAGAAGACAAAATACAGGTCTCCTGCCGGGCAGGACTGTGCTGTGTTGCAGAGCTGTGTAAATCTCAGGTAGGTGATGCAGCCACAAGATGTGTATTATTTGTGTATTTGGCTGTTTTTCTGAAGTTCAGCTGTAATATCTTCTGAACTGTATGGAGCACTGTTGATCTTGGGCGGCCCCTCCCTCGGGGGGTTGGGCGCCAGGATTATCCATCACCCATCGCCCTCATTATCTCACAGGGTTGCCTGTCTCTTCTTCCAGGTGCTGGGCTGGATCCGCAATGGGGAGTCCATGCTGAACGCCAGCCTCGTTAACGCCAGTTCGTTGTCGGAGGCGGAGCAGCTGCAGAGAGAACATGAACAGTTCCAGATGGCTATTGAGGTGACTATCCCGGAGGTTCCGGCTGCTGTGGGCAGTGGGGAGGAGTCCGGATCATTCCATGGAGGTTCTCTGAATGGGTTCTGCTCCGGGTGTGATATATTGGGTGTCATTTTGAGAAATTGCCGTTGCCTTTATCCTTCTACCACTGTACTTGCACTGCGGTGTGGGAGGGGGGGGGGAGATGCCAGATGATTACACGGATGGGGGTATTGGGGCATTTGTCTGGTGTTGTAGAAATGGGGCCAGTGTCTGTGAAGCCCCCAGCACATGTTGAGGGGTGTATGGATGGACTGGCATGTGCAGATTGGGGAACCGTTATGATGTAGAAGTTGGTGGACTGAACGCCAGCAGAGCTGCAGAAAATTGGGTTTAATTTTTGGGTCTTTGCCAACTGCATCGGACCTGATCAGGTGCATTAAAAGATGTATTTACTAAGAACTTTGCGATTCAGTACTGATTTCCGGACTCCTCATTCGCAGGCCGGAGTCTCGCAAATTGAAATTGTGCTAAAAAAACTTTACGGTTACCGATCACGCAAGGTAGACTGTATAGCCAGAAGTATGAGGACCCCCCCCACCTCATAACATAGAACATACAAGTGACATTAATAGAGAGAGAGATGCTATATGGCCAGACGTATGTGTGCCCTCCCCCTCCCCATGACATCAGTACCTGAAGAGGGTTTATTTAAAAGGATGCCGTGTATAAAGTGTATGATGAGCTTCCATCTCCAACAGTGATGTGATCCCAACATACATAGTTGACATCTGACCATCTCACCGGCTTTGTCGTCAAAAGTATGTGAACCCCCCTTCCAATAATGGGGTTCAGGGGTCTCCAGTGAAGGGTTCTGGTGATCCTCCATCATACAAAGACATTGGAGACAATTGTGCTCTTCCAGCCTTGTGGTCACAGTTTGGTGAAGACCCTTTTCTGCCCCACCATGACTGTCCCCTGTGTACAAAGCCCGCTCCATAAAGACATGGTGTGACCAGCTTAGTGGAGGAACTCGAGTGTCCTGCACAGAGCCCCGACCTCATCCCTACTGATCACCTCTGGGATGAATTGGGACCCCAATTGTGAGGCGGGTCTTCTTATCCAACATCAGTACCTGGAGAAAGTTTATTTAAAAGGATGCCAGGCATAAACTGTATGATGAGCTTCCATCTCCAACAGTGATGTGAACCCAACATATAGTGATGCCTGACTATTACAGCTACCCATATGCCCAAATAATATGTGGATTTCCTTCCTACTGATGGAGTTCAGGTGTCTCCAGTGAAGGTTCTGGTGATCCTCCATCATACAAAGACATTGTAGACAATTGTGATCTTCCAGCCTTGTGGTCACAGTTATTGTAGACCATTGTGCTCTTCCAGCCTTGTGGTGACAGTTTGGTGAAGACCCTTTTCTGTCCCCCCCCCATGACTGTCCCCTGTGTACACAGCCCGCTCCATACAGACATGGTGTGACCAGCTTAGTGGAGGAACTCGAGTGTCCTGCACAGAGCCCCGACCTCATCCCTACTGATCACCTCTGGGATGAATTGGGACCCCAATTGTGAGGCGGGTCTTCTTATCCAACATCAGTACCTGGAGAAAGTTTATTTAAAAGGATGCCAGGCATAAACTGTATGATGAGCTTCCATCTCCAACAGTGATGTGAACCCAACATATAGTGATGCCTGACTATTACAGCTACCCATATGCCCAAATAATATGTGGATTTCCTTCCTACTGATGGAGTTCAGGTGTCTCCAGTGAAGGTTCTGGTGATCCTCCATCATACAAAGACATTGTAGACAATTGTGATCTTCCAGCCTTGTGGTCACAGTTTGGTGAAGACCCTTTTCTGTTCCCCCCATGACTGTCCCCTGTGTACAAAGCCAGCTCCATAAAGACATGGTGGGACCAGTGTGTTGGAGGAACTCGAGTGTCCTGCACAGAGCCCGGACCTCAACCCTACTGAACATCTTTGGGATTGATTGGAACACAGATTGTCAGCCTGGTCTTCTCATCCAACATCTGTACCTGACCTCACAAATGGGCACAAATTCACACAGACACCCTCCTAAACCTTGTGAAACCCGTCCCAGAGGAGTGGAGGAAGTTATAGGTGCAATGGGGCCAATTCCATATTAATTGCCATAGGGGGGTATACTCCATATTATTGGCCATTGGGGGAGAGGGGCAACTCCATATTAATGGACCTTGGTGGGGCAACTGATCGGGTAACCCGCAGACTTCTGGCCATATAGTATATTATCCGGCTATGTTGTATTCATATGAAGAATCACATTTCTTATGTACTGTAGACACCTGAATTGAGGATCCGTGATGAATAATTAAACATTTTGTGTCCTAGATTCTAAACATCAGTTAAACTTTCCTTTTTTGCACGTGTCAGACGTTCCTCTTAGTGGAGAGACATTTAGAAGCCTCTTTCTAATCTTTTTATGAGCGGTAAAGTGCTTTGTATGCAGTGTAGCCGTGTACTATGATCACACAGGGCAGCGCAGAGGTGAGATGCTTCTTATATGATGTGAGCGTATCTTAGGGCAGCGATGAGATGTATATCGTCCGTCTGTACATTGTTCTCACTCCCTGTATTCTCTCCCCGTCTCTTCCACCCCGCGTTCCTCCTCGCAGTCCCTGTTCAATGCCAGCTCACTGCAGAAAACCCACCAGAGCGCACTGCAGGTCCAGCAGAAGGCCGAGGCCTTGTTACAGGCCGGGCATTACGACGCCGATGCCATCCGGGAGTGTGCCGAGAAGGTGGCCATGCACTGGCAGCAGCTCATGCTGAAGATGGAGGACAGGCTGAAGCTGGTCAATGCCTCGGTGGCATTCTACAAAACTTCAGAGCAGGTCAGGGCTTCCTGCAGATGGCACCGACGTTGCTGCATGCGGCGAGAAGACGCTCGGGCAGTACTGTGCTTGTTTTATTCTGAACTGTCTTGGGCTGCACGGGGCCAGTTTGTGACCTTAAGGTCGTTGGTTGTTCACCTGACATGAGAGCCCCTCAATGGTTTCTAAATGGTTCTATGGCGCCCCAAACCTGCACTTCCCACAATTATTGTACAGCTTGAGGGAGCAGCTATGGAAAGGTTCCATGTAGTTTCATGTGAAAAGCAGATGTGGGAAAACTACAATATGGAATGACCTACCCCAAATAAATGATTATATATGAATCAGTCACAGAAATCCAATAATATATTGATGGTTGAACCTGCCGGTGCAGATAATCTGTGCCCATCAGATGACCAGCGCTCTATGCTCCTAGAGCCACTGATTGAGGAATATTATTGTTTACCTAGGGTACCTCCACCAGAAGAACTTAGTGTTCTTAAGGTGATGTTGAGGCAAATAGATATCAATGATCATCTTTTATTAGTAGTGCCGGTACAGCAGATCGGCTGCTCCTAAAGCAAGGTCAGCCTACTCTCGAGGGACCTTGGGTGAAGATTTTTGGTGTAGAATAAAAGAAGCAACCAAAAGGACCAATTGATGAGGCAGTTGGATGCCAATGGTTATCTTTCATTAGTTGTGCCGGTATAGCAGTTAGGCTCCCCCTAAACCAAGGTCCTCCTGCTCCTGAGGGTCCTTGAGTGAAGACTTGGGGTGTAGAACAAAAAGAGCACCAAAAAAAGGACCAATACAATGAAGCAGTTGGATGCCAATGGTGGTCTTGTATTAGTAGTGCTGCTACGAAGGTCAGGCAGCCCTTAAACCAAGATCACCCTGCTCTTGAGGGACCTTGAAGGTGAAGACTTGAGGTGTAGAACAAAAGGAGCGCCAATCAATGAGGCAGTTGGATGCCAATGATAGTTTTTTATTATAATTTGATAGTCAACATGTTTCAGAGTAACAGACTCCCCCCACTTCAGGACTTGGAGGATAGACCACCTAGAAATAGTATTTAATTCCTCACTCTTACAGAACAAGTAAGCAGGAAGTGTAGTATGAATATCCACATAGGAAATATGTTCTGTACAAGTCTAATTACTACCTGTAGATAGGAGTGTTTGTTTTCAGACAAGTATTACTCAATTATTTACATGGCCCGGCTCTCACTTTCATACACATCCATTGAGCACCTCGGCTTTCTTTCCACGTGTCATGTGACATTCCGGTCTTGGCGCAGGTGTGCAGCGTGCTGGAAAGCCTGGAGCAGGAGTACCGGAGAGATGAAGACTGGTGCCGGGGACACGATAAACTGGGGCCGACATCCGACACGGACCACATAATGCCGTTGATCAGCAAACATCTGGAGCAGAAGGAAGCCTTCCTAAAGGTCCGTACCCTCCGCAGTCCCCTTCCCGATACTTCCTGTTACCGTAATATAATAGAAGGATTTGTGGTTTATTCGCTTCCTCTTCACTGATTGTGTCTTCCGCAGGCGTGCACACTGGCCCGGAGAAATGCAGAGGTCTTCTTAAAGTACATTCACCGCAACAATGTCAGCATGCCTGGTGTGGCACCTCACACGCGGGGCCCCGAGCAACAAGTCAAAGGTAAGCGGGGAGAGTACGCAGATTCAGCAGATCTGAGAAAAAGTGTTCAGGACGCAGCTGTGTAAACCCAAAACTTAACAAAAATGAGACATTTCCCATCGTTAGTGTGATGTGAATGATATATTATACAAGAGCAGTTGTGGATCATTTGTGGGTGGTGGGAGTCCTTGTAGGCCGTGGGAGTCCTTGTAGGCCGTGGGAGTCCTTGTAGGCCGTGGGAGTCCTTGTAGGCCGTGGGAGTCCTTGTAGGCCGTGCGAGTCCTTGTAGGCCGTGGGAGTCCTTGTAGGCCGTGGGAGTCCTTGTAGGCCGTGGGAGTCCTTGTAGGCCGTGGGAGTCCTTGTAGGCCGTGGTAGTCCTTGTAGGCCGTACGAGTTTTTGTAGGCCGTGCGAGTCCTTGTAGGCCGTACGAGTCTTTGTGGGCCTGCGAGTCTTTGTAGGCCCTGCGAGTCTTTGTAGGCCCTGCGAGTCTTTGTAGGCCCTGCGAGTCTTTGTAGGCCCTGCGAGTCCTTGTAGGCCGTGCGAGTCCTTGTAGGCCGTGCGAGTCCTTGTAGGCCGTGCGAGTCTTTGTAGGCCGTGCGAGTCTTTGTAGGCCGTGCGAGTCTTTGTAGGCCCTGCGAGTCTTTGTAGGCCCTGCGAGTCTTTGTAGGCCCAGCGAATACTTGTAGGCCCCGCAAGTCCTTGTAGGACCATCATAGGCCCATGTATTGTCAGGATTGCCATTTCTGCTGCTGATGTCGTCATCTCCTCTGCAGTGGCGGCTTTGTAACTCGCTCGGTTTTGGGTGGAGGTGACTTTGTGAGGCCGCAGAGTATGTGTAAGTGGAGTGCAGCTTATTATTGGATTAGGAGTCGCTAAGCTGCAGAACGGAGCAGATTACTGGTAATGCCGTCAAACACGTTCTCATGCGCTGCCGATCCTCTTTAGGTGAGATAAAGTCAGCGGATTCGCACCGAGCTTGTAAGCTGAAGTCCTCCGGCCCGGCGTATCGTCATATATGTGTGTGTGTGTGTGTATATGGGACTATGTAGTAATCCAGAATGAAGCGACACATAAATGGTGGGCTTGCTGCCAGTGCCCAGGTACTACAAGCCCCAGCATGTCCTTCAGGTTTGTGGTTCGGCCACTTCATAAATCGGGGGTCACCGGTAGAGACGTTTCCAGAACATTCCATTTTATATGAAGTTTTATGTCCCGGAGGAGATTGTTGCGTCTGTGTAACCGACCTCTCGCTTGTCCCGCAGCCATCCTCAGCGAGCTGCTGCAAAGAGAAAACCGCGTCCTGCACTTCTGGACCCTGAAGAAGCGGCGGCTGGACCAGTGCCAGCAGTACGTGGTGTTCGAGAGAAGCGCCAAGCAGGTAGGTGATGGGGAACCGCGGCGTGAGTCTGGCACCAGCTGGGAAAACATTGTGCTATGTACCATCCAATGATTGCCAACTACAATGTGGGGAGCTCAGTCATATTACAGGACAACCCTGATCCCTACAGTGCTCTGCGCTAAAAGACTGATCCATAGTGTGTATGGACACTGACCCAAATTAGTCCATCTCACTTATTAAAGAGGACCTGTCCCCACCATGCTCAGGATATTCACATGCCCTATGACAGCGGTGTCGAACCTATGACACGCGTGCCAGAGTGGGCACGTGGGGCCCCCTCTGCTGGCACGCGAGCCCAGGTCCGCATTACCAAAGGGACGCAGCGATAGCGGACTATTTTACCATTTTCGGCTGCCGCGGAAGAACACGGAGAGCTGCGGCAGCCGAAAATTAAGTATTCAAAGCCTGTATTAATGAATAGAAAGCCTGCCGTGATTGGCTCAGCGGAAGACGGAGGACACAGCGGGGATCGTGGACAAGGTAAGAGACTGTATTCCCGATTGTGGCTCGGGGTTACTGCTTATGGTACTGAAAATTAACCCCGAGCCACACTCGGGAATACCGCCATGGATGTTAGTGGGTGCATTTAAACATTATTTTGGGCTATACTCGTCTTATATGACGAGTATAGCCCAAAACCTATATTTTTTACACAAAAAGTGGGGGGTCGTCTTATACGCCGTCAAATACGGTAATAACTAATAGTAATTTCTGTCCCGGCTGCAGTATTAATCTACCCCAAGGATAATTTATTATTGCTGCGGGTAAGGGGGTGATTATTATTGCTGCATTGGGTGTTTTTTTTTTTAATTAACTCCTGCCTAAAAACAATTCTCCCCCAGGCAGCGATAATAATTGCCCCCCTTCCCCGCAGCAATAATACATTATTATTGCTGCGGGGAAGACTAGGTTTCTAGTTATGCCTGTGCTGTGTAGTGCTGACTTTCATTATAATGTATTGCTGGGACTTGTAGTCCCGCATAGCTGGTGGTATTCTGCATTGCTGTATGATAATTATACAGCAATGCAGAATAGCCCCACAGAGAGCCCATATAAACCACCTGAAAGCCCTTATAGACCACCCGAGAGCCACACTGCCCCCCTGAGAGCCCGCACAGCCCCCCAGAGAGCCCAAACAGACCACCTGAGAGCCCACCTGAAAACCCTTATAGCCCCCCCAGAGAGCCGCACAGCCCCCCAGAGAGCCACACAGCCCCACAGAGAGCCCATACATACAACCAGAGGGACAACAGAGCCCACCCAAAAGCCATAATAGACCGTCTGAAAGCTGCACAGCTCCCCTGAGAGCCTGTACAGACCACCAGAAACCCCACAGAGCCCACTTGAGAGCCGCACAGCCCCCTGAGAACCCGTACAGACCACCTCAGAACTGCAGAGCCCCCCTGAGAGTATTCAGGTCTAATTGAAGGGTTGGCACTTGGAGATAAATAAGTTGGTTTAGTGATCCAGTTTGGGCACTACGGCTCAAAAAGGTTCGCCATCACTGCCCTATGAGATGGTTCCCTCGCTGTTGATTGGATCAGTCTAATCCCTACAGTCTGAACCAACGTCTTCAGTGCTGTGGTCTGATCTCTATTGGTTAAGTACATCTCTCATTAGACTGCCCCCTATAATGATATTCAGAACCTGCAGCTCCCTACAATGAGGACTGACTGCTTCAGTATTAAGTATCCCAGATGGCCCACTGAAGTTCCTATTGTAGAAGAAGTTATTAGCATCGTGCTCTCTATAATACATACGTAAGAGTCCAATGCCCGATCCCTGCCACCCTCTCTATACTATAGGATGGCACTATGTCCCCTGTCCTCTGTATAATACATACGTATGAGCCCAATGCCCGATCCCTGCCACCCTCTCTATACTATAGGATGGCACTATGTCCCCTGTCCTCTGTATAATACATACGTATGAGCCCAATGCCCGATCCCTGCCACCCTCTCTATACTATAGGATGGCACTATGTCCCCTGTCCTCTGTATAATACATACGTATGAGCCCAATGCCCGATCCCTGCCACCCTCTCTATACTATAGGATGGCACTATGTCCCCTGTCCTCTGTATAATACATACGTATGAGCCCAATGCCCGATCCCTGCCACCCTCTCTATACTATAGGATGGCACTATGTCCCCTGTCCTCTGTATAATACATACGTATGAGCCCAATGCCCGATCCCTGCCACCCTCTCTATACTATAGGATGGCACTATGTCCCCTGTCCTCTGTATAATACATACGTATGAGCCCAATGCCCGATCCCTGCCACCCTCTCTATACTATAGGATGGCACTATGTCCCCTGTCCTCTGTATAATACATACGTATGAGCCCAATGCCCGATCCCTGCCACCCTCTCTATACTATAGGATGGCACTATGTCCCCTGTCCTCTGTATAATACATACGTATGAGCCCAATGCCCGATCCCTGCCACCCTCTCTATACTATAGGATGGCACTATGTCCCCTGTCCTCTGTATAATACATACGTATGAGCCCAATGCCCGATCCCTGCCACCCTCTCTATACTATAGGATGGCACTATGTCCCCTGTCCTCTGTATAATACATACGTATGAGCCCAATGCCCGATCCCTGCCACCCTCTCTATACTATAGGATGGCACTATGTCCCCTGTCCTCTGTATAATACATACGTATGAGCCCAATGCCCGATCCCTGCCACCCTCTCTATACTATAGGATGGCACTATGTCCCCTGTCCTCTGTATAATACATACGTATGAGCCCAATGCCCGATCCCTGCCACCCTCTCTATACTATAGGATGGCACTATGTCCCCTGTCCTCTGTATAATACATACGTATGAGCCCAATGCCCGATCCCTGCCACCCTCTCTATACTATAGGATGGCACTATGTCCCCTGTCCTCTGTATAATACATACGTATGAGCCCAATGCCCGATCCCTGCCACCCTCTCTATACTATAGGATGGCACTATGTCCCCTGTCCTCTGTATAATACATACGTATGAGCCCAATGCCCGATCCCTGCCACCCTCTCTATACTATAGGATGGCACTATGTCCCCTGTCCTCTGTATAATACATACGTATGAGCCCAATGCCCGATCCCTGCCACCCTCTCTATACTATAGGATGGCACTATGTCCCCTGTCCTCTGTATAATACATACGTATGAGCCCAATGCCCGATCCCTGCCACCCTCTCTATACTATAGGATGGCACTATGTCCCCTGTCCTCTGTATAATACATACGTATGAGCCCAATGCCCGATCCCTGCCACCCTCTCTATACTATAGGATGGCACTATGTCCCCTGTCCTCTGTATAATACATACGTATGAGCCCAATGCCCGATCCCTGCCACCCTCTCTATACTATAGGATGGCACTATGTCCCCTGTCCTCTGTATAATACATACGTATGAGCCCAATGCCCGATCCCTGCCACCCTCTCTATACTATAGGATGGCACTATGTCCCCTGTCCTCTGTATAATACATACGTATGAGCCCAATGCCCGATCCCTGCCACCCTCTCTATACTATAGGATGGCACTATGTCCCCTGTCCTCTGTATAATACATACGTATGAGCCCAATGCCCGATCCCTGCCACCCTCTCTATACTATAGGATGGCACTATGTCCCCTGTCCTCTGTATAATACATACGTATGAGCCCAATGCCCGATCCCTGCCACCCTCTCTATACTATAGGATGGCACTATGTCCCCTGTCCTCTGTATAATACATACGTATGAGCCCAATGCCCGATCCCTGCCACCCTCTCTATACTATAGGATGGCACTATGTCCCCTGTCCTCTGTATAATACATACGTATGAGCCCAATGCCCGATCCCTGCCACCCTCTCTATACTATAGGATGGCACTATGTCCCCTGTCCTCTGTATAATACATACGTATGAGCCCAATGCCCGATCCCTGCCACCCTCTCTATACTATAGGATGGCACTATGTCCCCTTATCTTCTAGCTGTGCGGTAGTATTGGACTGATGGAGTATTTGGATTAATTTTTAGAAATATTAAATTCTCTAACCTGTGATGGAGGCGCGGTGTAAATCTGCTTCTCATGTTTATTGAACAATGTCAGATCCAGCCGTCATGTTCCGGGGGAAGGCCCTTACCCTTCTTCAGGGCTTATATACTGACTTGGGAGTTGATGAAGGTGAAGTTTGCTGTATAGTGTAGAATGGGGCTGAGTGTCAGCGTAACCTAACTAAGGTGAAGGAAGCTGATCCTGTCGGTCGCCTTCACCTTGGTCGGGTTACACTTACACCCCAATCTCGGCTACACTGCAAAGTCAGCCTGGACAAACTCCCAGATAAGGCCGGAAAGGAAAGAGAGACCCATCTCCCAAAACACTCTTGTTCAATAAATAGAACATTTCCAAGTGATCCCAACTTGATGTTTTGATGAGCGATTCCTCAATACGAAGCACAGCAGGGCCGGGATTGGGTCTACACACATCATACATGCACAATGGGTTCACCTCCTTCTCCCCCATCTTTTGGATTTACATCACAACCAATTCTCATGCCTGCTGGTCCAATGCTACCACACATCTACAGAACAAAGGGTCAGCCTGACTCACGTCTGAGCCTGTGTGCTCTTCCCCCCCGCGCTGTCTATTCCTGTATTGCAGTCCTGGTCCCTTCTGACCCTGTACGGTGCTCTGAGCCATGACTTGTATAGACATTTTATAATATAGGACTGACCCCCTAGGATTTATCACGGTGCTGACCCCCTGGGATTTATCACGGTGCTGACCCCCTAGGATTTATCACGGTGCTGACCCCCTAGAATTTATCACGGTGCTGACCCCCTGGGATTTATCACGGTGCTCCGCATTGTGCCCCTGGTTGGATTTGTCTGATGACAGGTACTGACGCTCCAGTCTGTGCAGTATGAATGGGATGCAGGGATGTGAGCGCCATCTGCTGTACATAGGTGGCATCACACCTGCATCTTGCGCTGTATTCTGTATACAATGTTCATGCCGCATAGGAGAGGATACATGGTGGGTTACATTGTATCGTGTGCACCCTAACCCTAATCTCATTAGCCGTCACACAAAGCGGATGAGATTTCAGGAAGCTGACCCGTGGCTGGGCTTGTATGATTGCGGCTTCAGCTCCGTCTTCCTGTCCTCTCTTTTCTTACGTCAACAATCTGTGAAACAAGCGGCTCATTACGGGCTGATCGCTCCCTCTTGTCACAGGAGAAGCGGGTGCAGCTGTGCCGTGTGTGTCACATGACACCGGTGACCGGCGCACATTCTAAAACCTCCACCAAATCTTTCTTGAAGCGGAACTTCGGGCCATGCAGCAAATATACGATTGTATGTTCCCAAATATTGTCATTCTTTTTGGCCACTCTGGGAGTTTATGGTCCTTGGCCGCACTATAGAGGGTGACAACATGATTCAGAGCTGAAGCAATCAGCTCCTCCTTCCCCACCTGAAATGGTTTGTATGTTGGTTGTTATAACAGAGAGTGACGTATAGGAATGTGTATGTGAGGAGGCAAGAAGGTCTCCCACTAGGCAAACTTCCTTCTCAGTTGCCCTCCAAGTGTTCCTCCTCTAGAGATATTGTGTGTTTAGTCCTTTGCTAGGGATGTTGCGGTTTGGTTCTCCTTCAGCAACATTTGGGGTTTGTGACTATCCGTAGCTCAGTCTCCTTCTAGCAATGTTGTGGTTTGGTTCTCTATACTGGGCGGGTCAGTCCACCTCTAGGGATAATGAGGTTTGGTTCCCCTCTAGCAATGTTGGTAACTCAGCCCCTCTCTATCGACACTGTGGTCCATTTCTCCTCTAGCAGCATCGGCATTTGGTTCTCCTCAAGCAATATTAGGGATTCAGTCCTCCTCTAGAGATATTGTAGTTCTGATCTCCTCCCTCGGTGTTGGTGGTTTGGTCCTCCTCTAGAGATATTGTAGTTCTGATCTCCTCCCTCAGTATTGGTGGTATGGTCATCCTCTAGGGATATTGTAGTTCTGATCTCCTCCCTCAGTATTGGTGGTATGGTCCTCCTCTAGAGATATTGTGGTTCTGATCTCCTCCCCCAATGTTGGTGGTTTGGTCCTCTTCTAGGGATATTGTAGTTCTGATCTCCTCCCTCAGTATTGGTGGTATGGTCATCCTCTAGAGATATTGTGGTTCTGATCTCCTTCCCCAATGTTGGTGGTTTGGTCCTCCTCTAGGGATATTGGAGTTCTGATCTCCTCCCTCAGTATTGATGGTATGGTCATCCTCTAGAGATATTGTGGTTCTGATCTCCTCCCTAATGTTGGTGGTTTGGTCCTCCTCTAGAGATATTGTAGTTCTCATCTCCTCCCTCAGTATTGGTGGTATGGTCATCCTCTAGGGATATTGTAGTTCTGATCTCCTCCCTCAGTGTTGGTGGTTTGGTCCTCCTCTAGGGATATTGGAGTTCTGATCTCCTCCCTCAGTATTGATGGTATGGTCATCCTCTAGAGATATTGTGGTTCTGATCTCCTCCCTCAGTATTGATGGTATGGTCATCCTCTAGAGATATTGTGGTTCTGATCTCCTCCCTCAGTATTGATGGTATGGTCATCCTCTAGAGATATTGTGGTTCTGATCTCCTCCCTCAGTATTGATGGTATGGTCATCCTCTAGAGATATTGTGGTTCTGATCTCCTCCCTCAGTATTGATGGTATGGTCATCCTCTAGAGATATTGTGGTTCTGATCTCCTCCCTCAGTATTGATGGTATGGTCATCCTCTAGAGATATTGTGGTTCTGATCTCCTCCCTCAGTATTGATGGTATGGTCATCCTCTAGAGATATTGTGGTTCTGATCTCCTCCCTCAGTATTGATGGTATGGTCATCCTCTAGAGATATTGTGGTTCTGATCTCCTCCCTCAGTATTGATGGTATGGTCATCCTCTAGAGATATTGTGGTTCTGATCTCCTCCCTCAGTATTGATGGTATGGTCATCCTCTAGAGATATTGTGGTTCTGATCTCCTCCCTCAGTATTGATGGTATGGTCATCCTCTAGAGATATTGTGGTTCTGATCTCCTCCCTCAGTATTGATGGTATGGTCATCCTCTAGAGATATTGTGGTTCTGATCTCCTCCCTCAGTATTGATGGTATGGTCATCCTCTAGAGATATTGTGGTTCTGATCTCCTCCCTCAGTATTGATGGTATGGTCATCCTCTAGAGATATTGTGGTTCTGATCTCCTCCCTCAGTATTGATGGTATGGTCATCCTCTAGAGATATTGTGGTTCTGATCTCCTCCCCAATGTTGGTGGTTTGGTCCTCCTCTAGAGATATTGTAGTTCTCATCTCCTCCCTCAGTATTGGTGGTATGGTCATCCTCTAGGGATATTGTAGTTCTGATCTCCTCCCTCAGTGTTGGTGGTTTGGTCCTCCTCTAGGGATATTGTAGTTCTGTTCTCCCTCAGTGTTGGTGGTTTGGTCCTCCTCTAGAGATATTGTGGTTCTGATCTCCTCCCTCAGTATTGATGGTATGGTCCTCCTCTAGGGACATTGTAGTTCTGTTCTCCTCCCTCAGTATTGATGGTTTGGTCCTCCTCTAGGGATATTGTAGTTCTGATCTCCTCCCTCAGTATTGGTGGTATGGTCATCCTCTAGAGATATTGTGGTTCTGATCTCCTCCCCCAATGTTGGTGGTTTGGTCCTCCTCTAGAGATATTGTGGTTCTGATCTCCTCCCTCAGTGTTGGTGGTTTGGTCCTTCTCTAGAGATATTGTAGTTCTGTTCTCCTCCCTCAGTGTTGGTGGTTTGGTCCTCCTCTAGAGATATTGTGGTTCTGATCTCCTCCCTCAGTATTGATGGTATGGTCCTCCTCTAGGGACATTGTAGTTCTGTTCTCCTCCCTCAGTATTGATGGTTTGGTCCTCCTCTAGAGATATTATGTTCTTTTCTCCTCCCCCAGTGTTGGTGGTATGGTCCTCCTCTAGGGATCTTGTGGCTCTGTTCTCCTCCCTCAATACATGTGATTTGGTTCTCTTCTAGTATGAATCGTAGTTCAATCCTTTATAGATTCCTTAATAAAGTACCCCACTGACTGTATTCTTCCCCCTGCAGGCTCTGGACTGGATTCAGGAGATGGGGGAGCATTTCCTCTCTACGCACACATCTACCGGAGAGAGTCTGGACCAAACGCAGAGTCTACTGAAGGAATATGAAGATTTCCGTATGCCTGCCAAGGTAACACCGCGATAATAGAGGACAGACCATCTCCTTCCAGTCATCTACCCGAGATTTCTCATTATCCTTCCCAGTCTCCAGAATGTTTAATTAATGCCACAAGTCCGGACCTGATGCCAAAGACAAATTGGGTCAAATTCCTCCCTCGGAGTGTAATAATTCCTCATGTCCCCCGGCACGCTGAATCATTCCGCATCGTGTTGTGTTCACAAGTCGGGTTCTATGTTTCCTGTCACTTTACACCCAGAAGACGCTTGTATCTCGCGCTCTCTACCTGTTGGCGGGCCGCACACGTCCTCCATGCTGACCCCTCCGGCCATCTCTGCTCTGCGGATCTCCCCGTAGCCTCTGATAATGATTTCTGGCAATGTCATACACAGCCGAGGTCCCGGAGTCACGAGCAGCCGGCGGTTTAAACGTATTTGTCATTCCCGTCCTCTCTAGAGAGTCTCGGAGAATATTGCTGAGGTCATTGTGACCTTCTCCGAGGCTCCCAGACACGGGGGCGGGCGGCTATGGCGGTGCGCCAGGGAGCACCAGACCCCCGAGCACATCAGACCCCCGAGCACATCAGACCCCCGAGCACATCAGACCCCCGAGCACATCAGGGCAGCCGGCATTGATAATGATTGTTATATTTTGTTTCCACCCCCTGACAGCAAACCAAGGAGAAGGTCCGCCTCCTGATCCAGCTGGCGGACAGCTTTGTGGAGAAGGGTCACGTCCACGCCACCGAGCTGAAGAAATGGGTCACCACTGTGAACAAGCATTACCGCGAGTTCTCCCTGCGGATGGGGAAATACCAGTGCTCGCTGCAGAGGGCGCTGGGCATCAGCACTGAGGTATTGGACGCAGCGCCGCGCAGACCGCCGGGGAAGATCGAGCTCCTCCGCTGCGCAATCCTCCTATATATAGCCGTGTGACCTCCGAGCACTCGGCAATGGCGGTTCCACATTAAAGGATTACTGCGCGGGCCGGATTAGGCCGAGTAGCTTCCGCCGCCCGTCCATCATATATCCGATCCGGTTATCGCCGGAGCCGCTACCGGGAGAAATTCAATGTAAATGCAGACCTTAAAGGACGACTCCGGGCAAATAAAATCTTAACCCATCGCAGTGAGTCTTCCCCCGGTACTCGCCGATACCAAGTACCGGAAGTCCCATTCAGGAAGCCAGGGGGCGTGTAAAGACTCGTCCCCATGCTTCTCGTCACTAGGTGATGAGAAAGCATGGTAGACGGTTTTTCTGGCCAATCAGAAAGCAGGGCGCCACATCATTACACGGCGCCTGGCTTCCTGATCGGTAGAAAGCTGGCCAATCAGGAAGCCGGGCAGCGTGTAATGATGCGCTGCCCTTCTTCCTGATACCAGAAGTATGGGGCATGCATCGGAGCATTTGGGCGACTACGAGTACTTACCCAAATACTCGGCACTGATGCTAGTATCGGCGCATCCCTATATATAAATATAACAATGACAGGAACCCAGAGATAAATATTCAGTGGCACACAATAAATACTCCCCTAGGGGGCTGATTTCCATCTCTGCTCCTCAGCGCCCTCTAGTGGGGTTATAACTTTGTAACTTCAGAAACACAATAACAGAAATCTATTAATACCTGGAAATGATGAGATGAAAGAGATACAATCATCTAATAATAATAATACGAAACGTTATCTATAAAATAAGAGCAGCTACAGTATCCATCCGATGAAATGATGACCGGCGATCATATACATCGGAGGAGCCGCCGAGCTGAGAGCAACATCAGTGTAACAAACCATTCCACAGCCAATATTATACAATGTAACAAAGACGACTCATCCATGTATCATAGTATCCATAGGGATCGGTTGTGAAATAGTCTCATGGATGGGATTCTATGGAGGATAATCTTCGGGGCTTGTTCACACCGAGAGCGGAGCATTCCGGAGCGGTAGCGGTAGAGCAAGCCCTATCTTTTGCAGTGGCAGGCAAAGTTTTGCCACCCGTCCGATCGCACTGCGGGCGGGGGGCGTGGAAGCGGTGCCATTGAATTCAATGTACCGCCACGTCCCAGAACGCAGGGGGTAGTTTCGGGAGCGATCGCGGTGCGTTCTAGCAGCTACCGCTCTGGAACGCACAGCTTTCGGCGGGAACAAGGCCTCACGGCTGAAATCAGCTCAGTGACGGAATTTTATCACCGTTTAGGTCCCGACAAATTGACTGAAGGCGGCCATGACGCGGCGGGCTGAGCGAAAAAAAATCTTAGACTCCCCCCTCCATGATAATGAATCTCCGGCTTCTGTCAGAAGATTTGCGCAATGGCCGCAGCTGATGAAACGGGAAATTTCGGCACTTTGGGGGGTAAAAATAAACTTTCGCTCAGATATTCAGTTAATAGACAAAGAGGAGGAGTCAGCGTCATCGGACAGATGGGTCATGTATAGTCCCCGTCTGATGTTTGCTCGTCCATGACTGAGCGAGTGACAATCGACAAATGACCTATGGGGAATGACCAGCTAGATTCTGATTGGTTGCTGCCCCATCACTGACAGTGCGTGCTCTCATTCGCGCTCGCCGTTGTGCTCAGGAGCTTTGATATGTTCTGTATTCTAGAAATAGCCGCCATTGTGCGATGTGATGATGATGAAACGCTGCCGCCATGACGTTCTGTATCAATCCCTCTTCCAGGACAACAAAGATCTGGAACTGGACATTGTGCCGGCCATCTTGACCGACCCGGAAGTAAAACTGCGAGACGCCAGCCATGAGATCAACGAGGAGAAGAGGAAGTCTGCGCGGAAAAAAGAGTGAGTGCGCCGGAGTCCGAAATCTCCTATATTTTGAAGTTTTATGGTTCCCCCTCCCCCCATCTGCATGATGATTAAAGGAGAACTATGGGGTCAGGGCTTTTCCCCATAGTTCTCCTTAGGGTAACGGGAGGACACAAACTAGCGTCCTCCCGTCACCCTAGGCTCAGTATATAGAGAGCTACAGCTCGCGGTATACTGAGACGCCGCAGCCGGAGCGGATCCCGACAATTGTGCATGGATCCGCCCAGCTGCGTGAGTGACAGCTGGCTCCGCCTATCTAGAGGGAGAGCCAGCTGTACCCGCCCCCTGCCCCGTCCGTTCCGCCAGTCAACGCTGGAGGAGCGGGGAGGGGGGAATCCAGCCCCTCCCCTGTCACGGCAGAGAGCCGTGACAAGATCGAGAAGTGAGCGAACGCCGGTATGTGTTCTCTCACCTCCCGATCTACTGAGCCGACCTGTGACAGTCTCATTGTCACAGGTTGGCTAGAACTATGAGGTGAG